CCAGGTATTCCCGCAATCATTCCATCAACCAGTCGTTGGAATGCTCCCGGTGCAGACTTCACCCCTGGAGCGAGGCAATTGAGCTAAAGGAATAAACCCCGATGCGTATTGGCGTTGATGGCACCGTCGAAAAATTTGCTCTTCCAGTAAATATAGACAGTTTCTTATGGGAATTTTCGGTGGAGTGAAAGGATAGTACAAAGTCCGCCATGTTTCACGTACAGTCTGACGTTTGCTTATGGATTTTCTCATAGGAGTAAAGAGCTACAGAGTTGCCGTCAACGCCAATTAATGGTGAGCAGCTTTTTTGAATCGTCATCCACCTCGAGCTGCAAGTATGCATCGGAGAGGTGAATACGGAACTGCCACTGAGTTGGGCGAAAATTTTCTCCGGAGTGGGAAGCGGGTAGTGATTAGCTTCTAAAGCCGCGTTGAGTCCTGTTGAATAGTCCGCACAGATACGAACCCGACCGTTTGGTTTACGTACATCCACGATTGGAGCAGCGCACTCAGAGAAATCGATAGGCTCGATAATACTCAATGACTCCAACCGTATAATTTCAGCATCGACCAATGGAATTTGTTGAAAGGAACTGGCCGCTTGGGTCAGAAAACAGGTTGAGCATTAGGTTTGAGGAAAAGCTATACCACAGACAAACAGACGTAACTATTTGAAAAAGTTTTTCTTGAAAACATAGTATCTCAAATCATAGGACCTCAGTAACGACATCTCTTGGGTTTCTCGCGGAAAACAAGCTTGCTCGCTAACTCGCAAACAATATTGCATTAAAGTTCTGTAGAATGTATAGAAACGTCAAAGTGATCCGATGCCAGCGCTGCGGCGAGTAGTTCGCGGAACTGATAATATTCAAATCAACCGTTAAATGCGTGAATGAAGATACACAATGAAGTGTTACGTCTGTTTGTCTGTGGCTATACCTTTAGTCTCTTTCAATGTCCTAGTGAATAGTTGAACACATCTGCGTGCTTGGCCTGGAATTCACGTACTTGCTGATCGATTGGTTTTGTCTTCAAAACCAAATCGCAACCGAATCAATGGGAACTGACCACAGCTCGAAGAGTTCGATCCAGTCGATGCCTAGCAGATTCAGATTAGCAGTCGTTGTGACGAAGCATCTTCCTTGTGCAGTTTTGCCGTTGATTCTCACTTCGCACTCGAACTCACCCATCAAATGGAGCGGCTTGCCTGAATGTTGGCACGAACCTTCGCATGCTTGAGTGTTGAGCGATGTGATTGACGAGTTATACGCCTCGGGATTTTGCCTTGTAGGGTTTGCTTGATTTGTTCGATGACTTCTTTTCCTCCCCTGCTTGAACCGATTTTGGTTTGGAGAAGCAGCCACAGTAGCCTTCCTTGTGGCCGATACGGTTGCACTGCTTGCACTGAAGACTCGAGAATGGACAATCCCGAACATAGTGCATCTGGCCGCATTGCCAACAAGGTATACGAGGCGATTTACCTTCCGTCTTCGAAGACTGTTGTGGTCGCGAGGTTCCCTTCTTCTCCTGAACTCAGCTCGATCATGGATGTGTCCGCCTTGAGATTGACAAGCCGTTGATAGTCGTCGATCAAGTTTAGGAGTGTTACGGGAGCTTCTGGTGTTTCAGCTTCGATCCGGGAGAGTAGCCTGGCTCGTATTTCTGCATAGCAATGGCTTTTGAGACCGCAGACAAATGATCAGTAGGCTGTTTCGAACCATTTGGCGGTTAAAATTTGACAGATGGAAAGTTATCGATTAACCCTGCCTGGTTATTTCTGACCGACAAGAAGTTAAATTTTGACAACCGTGGCTGAGTTCTGCTCGATAACCGGTCGATCGGTAACACAGGGATTTTCAAGGGGTAATCAACTCTGCACACCTCAATCTGTGCCGAATGCTGTGCCGAAGTCTGTCAATCAAGTATCCCATGAGTTTGGCAACACTGAAGTTTCAATGACTTTTGTGATTGTTTGTTTGTGATTAAAGAAAAAGAAGCGTGATGAATTGATGTATTCAACAATCACTGCTGCAGTATGGAAATTCTATCCGAATAAGAAAACTGGAAAAAGTAAATGAAATCTGTTTCAAGATTCGTACCGTTCATCACCAACAAAACACTGATTGTAGCGGAAGCCGGTTCCGAAGCCCAACTCCGGCGGATCCTCATAAATCCGGAAACGCTCATCAACAACGAGTACATCATGACATAGTTCGAGATTCTGGTTGATTTCGGCAAGCTGGACGCGGTTCTTCGTTCGTGGCTTTGATTATGAAGCAGTACGACAACGATAGCAACTGCGAAGCGGCGGTGGAACCATAGAGGTAACTCTAAGACCAGAAGGTTCCGAAGAAACGCGCTCAACTTTTTGGCTCAGCTCTGGTACTCTCTTCGGTCCCAAGCTAATCGATGCACCCCTCGAAACATAGGAAAATCCACGAACCCCTCATTGTATCTGTCAAACTTTCATAGTGAATCAAAACAAACATACTGTAGAACTAGAATTTCAACTAGAATGGGATACGTTGATCGATGTACTTGGGGCCAATAGGCTAGTCAAGTAGTGAGCCAATTTAAAATCGTTAGTTTCCACCGGTTGGTGGAACTGTTCAATCGGCTGCAAGCTGCAATGTGGTTCTGTTGTATGCCAAGGGAAAAGTTTGAAGGGTTTAAGGATCGGGTTCAGGTTGTCAAAATGCACTTAATTTATTTTACAGAAAGTCTATCTAATAAATTGTCTAAGAATGTACAATTGGGTATATATATTTATTGAAATAATCCCGATTATTTAAACAAGGTGAGTGACTAGTGGTGCCGTAGATCAGTCATCCGGGAGGAAGGTGCCTGATTTGTATGACGCTATGTATCTGGCCACCCTGTGGCATTGACCCATGTGAACCGTGATTACCGATATTAGAAACTATACCGAAAACGCCAAGCAAGTGTTCGTTGCTAAAGTGGATAAACCTGAGAGTGACCTAGTTATTGCTGTTGCTGGTGATGATCTTGGCGCTGGTATTTATTTATCACTCAAACTTTGACAACTCTTGCAGGGAATTGGACGAAGTATTGGCTGCAAGAGAGATCCGAGCAAAGTATATGTTTGTCTTCCAATCCGGAATCCGATCGTCTAGTCCGACTGATGTATCAATTTCATCCTGAAGTGAAGATCGACGACTGTCAGCAAAGTGCGAAACCTTAGCAACTATTGGAATAACGATAGGAAACAACAATGATGCCGTTGCATATTATATTTTGTGTCATACTTGTCAAAGTGAGCCCTAACCATGTGCCGTGATGTGTTTCGGCACAGTGTGCAACATAATGTCGAAATGTCACTTTTAACCACGAGTTAATTTCAAGGGGGGGGGGAGGTGTTATAGTCGCTATATTCATAGTCTGGCGGATAGAATCTCGGGAACCAATTGAGCTGTCAAATAGCGGAACCAATCGAGCAAATCACGACCAACAACAGAAAAGAGCACATCAGCTATTGCGAACAAAATGTCGGAAACCGTTTTCTCGTGACCGCCTACACAAACTAACACCATCTTTGGGTTGTGGAAAGTTTTCCCTATCAGATGATGCTGGTAATTTAGCTTCGATTGGCGAGGAAAGAATGATCAACGTTTTGTTTATAAAAGTTTATAGTACCTTTTCAATTGTTGGTCTACAATATATGGAATTGGTTCCGCTTTTTGATATATCGAAATTCTATCCGCCAGACTATGAATTTAGCGACTATAGGGGAGGTGGCTGTCAAATAGGAACAATCGTCGCCTACCCTCGCATCGAGGGGGGCGACACATCTAAATCTTAATTCTAGATGCTCGAAAAATCTCACACTAGCGAATGAATCTTCGAAAAATCTTCTATCATTTTTCAGTTCTACTTAATCAAATTGGATTTGACAATCGAAAATAAATTCTTTCAAGGGGTGATCTTATGCGCTTTAGACTGCGCATTTAATGTGATGATTGCATTTGATATTTCGACACTGAGCATGCATAAGGGCGTAAACGCGATGATCGATTCTCTTTGTCGATTTTCTGTTTTGTTAATAACGAATTGACGTTTCTCGGTGCGTTTGCTGTTGCTTTTGATAGCCAATACAACCTGTTACAACTCTGCATTGAACAAATTCTAGAAAATTGTTTCGCTTAGCTGTAGCAATGCAAAGAGAAAATCGATGAAGAGAATCGATCATCGCGTTTACGCCCTTATGCATGTTCACTGTTGATTTGCTCAAAACATTTCGACAGTGAGCATGCATGGATGCGGACACCCCCACAAAGGATGCGCACACCCCCAACAAATTATAGCCTTCTGTCAGATGACCCAACTAAAGAATCGAGTCTATTCAAAAGATTGAAAGCTGTAATGACAAAAATAAATAATTGTCCAGGTTGCTGCGTTGTACTGATTTGTGCGTGGCTCACGCATTTCAGGCTATTTTTGGCAGGCCACTGACAAGGCCTATACCAACAGCAGTGTTTGACAGTATGCAGCATGTCCCGGGCTCAAATCATTTATTTTGCTATGCTGGGCCCGCTGTCACGGTTTGACATGTTGCCTACGCGCCTGCCACTGGGCTGATTTTTGGTTACTAAAAAAAATCTTTTCCCGTGCATACTGTCTACAAGATAACATGAAAGTATCCATTAATGGGTAAAAAAGACTCATTTTGAAGAAAAGTGGCTTAGCGTGTAAAAAATGATTGCTTCACTATACCCTACCCATCAGTCATAGTACATAATATGTCAGTCTCTTCGTTGCTTGAATCCGTATTCATATAGGACAGTTGTGCGATTATAGGCAGTTATTACCTCCCCATACATACAACCAATCAATTCAACGGTGAGTGAACCTCCCTTCAAGCGACTACCAGTCTGTTATCAACCGTTCGTTTTCTTATCTTCTGACGGTGGTTTATTTGTATTGGTATTTAAATTTCGAACTGCAATCAGCGAGCGATATATCCTGTCATTCAAACGCAAGCCGGTCAGTCGTCAGCAGATCGTGGATCGGACAACTAACTAGGCACAGAAGAACCGGTTTCTCTCTTGTCTCGCTGCATTTTTGTGTTTGTTTCTTATTCGTTCCTCCCGTTATCAGGAAAAAAAATAGTGATAAAACAATGGCCAGCGAAGCTGCCCTGCCTTCGGTTTTAAAAACCCTCTTCAGGTTGGTTTAATCATTTGAATTAATCCAATTATGTAGGCAATCAAATAATATTTTTTTTTCATCCACGCAGCCACATCGATGCCAACAAGGCCAAGTACATCGCCGCCCTGGCCGAAACGGTGGCAATCAAATCGGTTTCGGCTTGGCCGGATTCGCGACCGGAAATCTTCCGCATGGTCAACTGGGTCGCGGACCGCTTGAAAGCCCTGGGAGCCACGGTGGAGCTGGCCGACGTCGGGAAGCAAACCTTCCCGGACGGACGGGTTCTGGACCTGCCGAATGTGATCTTGGGAACGCTGGGCAATGTAAGTACCTACCTACCTGTAATGTAGACAATTGAACGGTGATTGTGGCACGCTTGATTGATGCGAATCCCAAGTGGCAGATCGATCATACTAAATTCCTACGGCAATTCAAGTGGTCGCATAGTTGGGTGAGGAGATATTTCCGAAAGAAGTGGAATTGTGATAAGCACGGAAATCTCACATTATTATCATAGAAATGACTGCGAATTGTATGCGGTTTTAAGCCGCAAAGCTAACAAATTCGCACACAGTGATGAGGAATATTGTGGGTGATTTTTCTGACACCGTTTTCAGTCACTGGAGAAACATGAGACGATGAAATAACATATTTTGAATAGATTAAGTGCAGGGTCACACAATACCGCGGCAATTTGATGCCTCCTTTGTATAGTAAGCGTAATAACAAAGACTGAGTAGACAAAACATAGTACCTATATCGTGTTGCTGAAAATGAAGAGACATGAAGAATTCCAGAGATTGTAGAACAAAATGTTTTGCTGCTGGTGATGTCATATTTTGTTCAAGAGAAATGCAACTATTCTGCTCATGAACAATGCAATATGTGTCCGACGCTGCTTATATATCTTTTCGATGAGACAGACGCGTCCGTTGACCTCCTTATTTGTTTTGGTAAAGTCGAGACTTGCACCGGCTCAGTTGGAGTGTGTATGAGTAGGGGCTTGGATTGGCGACAAATGTGAGATATATAAAAAAGTATTATTATCACCATGCTAAAATTTGCGACCGATCTGATCGTACGAATTTGGGAAAACTTGTTTTTTGATTCGTAATTTTTGTGTCGTATGTTTTTGCTTTGATGTTCGTGAGATTGATGGGAAATCTGTTTCAAATTTGACTTGTGATAGAAGCTGTTTTAAACAACTCCAACTTCAACCAGGCGTCTCCATATTAGGTAACTATTTTGAAAAGAGACATGTTAATTATTTTAAATTTTATTCGACACACTCATGTATTCGTTATGCCTTTTAAGCTGAAATAACTCCTGTAGTTATAACTGTGTGGGAATTTTTGTATTATCCAGATCAAAATAAGCCTTAGGCGTCCTTTGTTGTACACATAAGTCTTCTTTTTCTTCTTCCTCGCATTTCAAGCTTATTGCTTATCGCATATTAGCTTATTGCGTGCTCTCAACTTAGTGTTCTAGATGCACTTCCACAGTTATTAATTGAGAGCTTTCGATGCCTGTACCATTTTTGCATTAGTATAATCTACAATCATACTCTTTGGCTCAGGGAGGTCGAGAAATTTTCCAACAAAATCAGGGAATATTAGGGAATTCATTTTTGGACACCAGGGAATCTCAAGGAATTCCATTCAAATTCTTAATCACAGAAACTTATTATTAACTGACTTACTTCGCTAGTTTCAAACAACATAATTACTAGGTGTAGTTTGAGGATGGTTGTTCGTTTCAACTTTTAAATGGAGATGGGAACTTGTAGTTGCTCAATGCTTGATGTTGCATTTTTCCAAGTTGAGCAAACATTACTCAAACGAAAGGGTATTTCGATGATTTAGGGCCTAATGTAAATTCCGCTCCCACTGGGTGTTGGCACATTCCTGAGTTGAACTGAGATCCTGAGGGTTGATAAAAATCCATTTCCGTAGACGCTATAGACGTTGTTAGTTATGGCAAAATTTAATCTCCAAATAGGAATATGCGTCTCTTAATAGATGTTATACCTAATTGCTTCTTAAAAACAATTTAACCTTTGAGTGGAGTGGTGCGTTTGCTCGATCCAGCAGTGTTCAACAAAAATCAATTCTTTGAGCGCATTGAAGTGCCTTTGAGTAAATGCAATAATGGAAAAGATTTAAGAGAAGAGGATGATTTTTCTTCTGAATACTTGTAGTTATTGTTCCTTATTGTGTTTTAACCAGGAAAGTGGCACCCCTATCTCTAATAATAACAAGTAGCCATAGCGAGCATAACCGTGGGCCCACGTTCGGGCCTAGCTTTGATTGCTTTGATTTAACTTTTTTATGCTGCCTACGAAAAGATGGCTGCGTGCCAGTCCCTTGGTTTTAACAGCCTGAATTAGCTCAGAGAATCAACTAAATGAGAATTTTGCATAATGATCTTGCCTGGATGGCATGGCATGGCTAAATCTCGTACTGAATGATGGTCATCGTTATTTTTTTTATTTCAGAGGTTGTTGACTACTCTGAAATTCACGGATATCGCTTATCTAGAGATGATTCTATAGGCCCACGCACATTAGATCCGGATCGGACGCGTTGCGGCAAAGTGACAGCTAAATCTATTGTCTAACTGTCAAATTTACGTCAACGCTACGCAAACGGATCTAATGTGGGTGGCCCTTATTACATGCGATTGATCCTTAAAAGCAAAATAAAAAAAAAACTTCAAAAAGTAAATTTTCACACACAATGTTTTTTTTTTTTGATTTTAGGAGTAACTTATTTTCGGAATTCTATGCTTGAACAAAACTAATGGTGTTATTGTTTCTGCCCGAAATCCTTATCTGAAACACCCACCCAACTTTTATCTGTAGTTATCGGTAGGCCGTCTTAAGAAGGCTTTCCCAAAATTTGTAACGTTTGTGAGCGGAGGTTGATGAAAACAAATTACGTGCAATTTTGGGCTTTCTAACCGATGTTTTTTTAATACCTATACGATTTTCTAGATGTCCGACAATATATTAGTTTTAAATACATGGTAAACATATAGAGATCCGTCCTACAGTCATCGGTTCAATGATATGAGTACCCCTCAAGAATATGCGAATATTAAGAATAACAAGTAAGTGCGAGTAGGACGAACGGAACATGAAATCAAAAAAGGGAGAAACAGAAAATAGCATCAGGCAGAGAAAGTCGATTAAACGTTAAAAAAAAATCATTCGCACACGATAAGAAAAAAGTACCCAGTGTGAACTGGCCACTTTTAACTACTTTTGACTAGTTTATCTTCTTTTCTTCTTCTAATCACAGAGAACAGACGTCCAACTTCCACCAGAAACTTGTGTAAAGATAAGTGGGAACGTCACCGTTACGTGGCGCTATCATCTCCTGATTTCCTCTATTAATTTTCAACTTTCAGCCAATTTGGCGCTAGTATCAATAAATTTTCGGATTAAAATTACAACTTGGCGCTACCGGCACTTAGTGTCTAGTGTAAGTTGTGCAACGCCAGCGCCATCATTTTGACAAAGAGGGGTTTTAAGTGGGGAAGTCGGCGTTGTAGGCGCTTAAATCGAATAGGAATCTTTACACAGGTTTTTACAGAAATTCTGTTCGAGCCTCAACGTCTGTTCTCTGTGTTCTAATGTTGTCAAAAACGGAGGAGCAAAACCATCAATCTTAACAAACACCTTCTCAAAAATCGGACGATCAACAACAGAAAGATTTATGAACACTATAATTTATTTTCGAAAAGTTAAGTTTAAGTGAAAATTTACCATATGGAACACAGCCGTAAAATCTGTGATTATCGTTATCAAAAGTGAAACATCTGTAGTTTTGAACCTTTCGTCTGTGAATCGGTAGGCATACCAAAAATCGGTAGGACTACCGATAAATCGGTAGGTCTGGCCACCCTGTTAGAATGCGAGCGATTATATGACATATAGGGCTTTTGATCTAATTTCCGTCCTACTAAGCACAACCCGCACTTTACCTCTCTGTTCTGAACGAGTTTGAACGAAAAATGGAATATTTCTGTCAAAGATGACTTCTAAATTTATTCACCTTTGATTTGATAAAGAGTCACAAATTGTTGAGAAATTGTTTAAAATCTAATACTGCTTCTTGATTCTAAATTCGTTCTACGAGTTTCAATTCCGTCCTAACGCATTAAAACGCCATTAGATTTTCTTCGTCCTACGGATAAACGTAGAAAAAGGGGATTCGCTAGGAGCGCTTCTTTTGTTTTGAGAACAATAGAGACTTTAGTGAGAGCGTGTTAGTGAATATCCTAGGAAAATACGTAACAAATAGATGTCAAACTCATTTTGACAGGTATACTTTCATACATTTTTTAGGTTAGCCAGAGGAAAATAATAAACAACTTTACACGGCGTTGCTCCCGCTAGTGTGCGGGCGTTAAACGTCACTAATCTCTATGAGCGTAAATATTATTACAATGCGCTCTAACAGGGTTTATCTTGTAGCTAATGAACTAACGCATCGGAACAAACCTATAATTGATTTGTGCATTGTGAAATCATTGATATTATTATTCTTTTCTGATCGATAGAACGGAAATGGGCGATTACGATGAAGTAGCGCTCTACCCTATCGAATAATTTTAGTCATGGTGCAAGAAATTCTTTTTGTGTTGAGCTGAAAACTATCCATTATACCTAGCATATGCTCTGTAAATGGTTCACATACGAAACATATATTCATTCGTAAGTCGAAAGTAATACACACGTTTTTGTGCAGAAATTCATCCAAATGGTTTTGTCATTCAAAATTTGGAAACATAGAAACTGTAGTCTGTATGACTGTAGTCATACTTGTAGGCTAAGGCCTTGTTGTCCTATGCTATCCGAAGAAGTCGTCTCCACTCTACTCGATCCATGGCCACACTTCGCTAGCCTCTTAGTCTGCGAAGGGTCCGCAGGTCGCCTGCTGCTTGGTCGATCCATCTTGCGCGCTGCGCGCCTCTTCTTCTTGTTCCTGTTTGGTCGCTTTCTAGAACCACTCTCACTGGGTCGTAGTCCGGCATTCTTACGACGTGCCCAGCCCACCGTAGTCGCTCAATTTTTGCAATGTGGACGATAGATGGTTCTCCCAGCAGCTGATGCAATTCGTGATTCATTTGCCTCCTCCACCGTAGATGGTACGCAACACCTTCCGTTCGAAAACACCAACATAGTCCAGCATAGTCCAGGTCTCGTGGCAGCGTCTTGTAGATAGTCAACTTCGTGCGGCGGCGAATTTTATTCAACCGGAGCGTCCTCCGGAGTCCAAAGTAGGCACGATTCCCTGCAATAATGCGACTTTGAATTTCT